CAAAACACAAGTACGTAGCAGTAGGTAGGAGAATACCAAGTTTCAACTTTGTAAGCAGACGACAATCGAGTTTGATGGAAGGGCATATTGAAGATACTGCGCTACGAATTGAGACATTGTTATATCGAATCACGGTTCCGCCGAATCGAATATGTAGAGAGTTTCCCAGAACAATCGATATTTATTATCATCGACCAATCGATGTCGACGATATCGCCGAATACTACTGCTGACAAATATCGAAGAAAGCTGCTCGTATTTCATATTATTGATTGAAAGATGTTGATACAGTTGTCCGGAATGATTCGATGAAAACAGAAACATGTTTTGTGACGATAACTCTTGATAATATTACCACGCTTCGACGTATTGATTTTTGAAATCTGAATACAAATTCGATATATTAACTCGTATTACATACCTGATATCAAATATGACTGATTCCCGGGGGAGTTCGTAACAATGAATATAGTTTTCACATTAGATAAATTAACCACAGAATCAAACAGCCGTAACGGAACAGTATAATGTACGAGTGTAAGTACGAGATACAACATTACATCACAGTATAATGTAAATATGAGATACGAATGTATGGCAATCTTATCGTATAACATTGAGAGAGTTTCAAAATGTTATTAATAGATAATGATGTAATCGAATATAAATAAAACAGAATCAAGAACGGCGTATCGTAGATGAGGAATAGACATTTCTTATTTATCGATTCCAATCGATGCGTCGAATGATAAATCGCAAATCATGTATGCATTTGTATCTTGAATTGTCACCTAACGAGTTCAAAGTCCACACTTATACATATTTGATAACAACGAGCTCAAATAAAATGTAATTCTCGATAATAGACTGTTGTTCTTTGATAAACATTGAGTTGTTACTGCCATGTTTCTAACTAACTAAAATGATAAATAATTAAAGAGCATATAAAAAAGCAAATATAAAATTAAGTTAAACGCAAGTTTAGCACAATGAGTTGGATTACTTATTACTTCCATGATTTATCTCCTTTAAAAATGTAATATGTAATGTATAGTTATGTAATTATAAAAAAATTAATATATGACATGATGTAATAATATGAAATTAACAAAATCGTGCGTGTTTTATAAGAAACATCTTAAGAGCACGTTAATTAAAATACTTGGAATGAAATATCAAACAATGAAATGCGGAAAATCGATTATCTTATTGTGATTACATATCGGCAGACGTGAGATATAAAACGATAGACATGAGATATAAAGATTATTAATAATGTAAACATTTAGCGTACACACGTTTAATATTCAATGATCACGATTTTACACATATACGTATGATTGAAATTGCAGCATTGGTAATAATATATATGTTAAGGCATTTATATCGATCTTTATGTGTATTTATATGTGTGTGTTTGTGTGTGTGTGTGTGTGTGTGTGTGTGTGTGTGTGTGTGTGTGTGTTTGTGTGCGTACGCATATTATCAAACAAAATTTCTTGTATCGTGAGAAACAGAATTAAAGTCTATGTCTCAAAAATAATATCATGTAATCTCACAATATTTATTTTAATTAATCATGTGACCCACATCATTTAGTAAGTAAAATATATAATGCGATTTTATTAGTTTTATATTATTATATCATGTTATATATGTATTTTTTTATAATTATATAACTACTTAACTTAGTAAGTAAAAGAACTTTGTTTTAAAAAATATCATATTCTTCATAAACATTAATTTATAAAATTTATTAGTTTCGTAATCATATGTGTTATACATTATACTAATCGTGTGAAATCATTTTTACGTAACAATACATATGAAAAATACATATGTATTGTTAAACAAATAATTCATGTAATTAGAACAGTATGATTCATAATGTGACTGTGCATGATTTATATTCCAAATATTATATAGCGCAATCTTTTAAAGTCATTGGCTGATACATATAAATGAAACAACAGATTAAGATTTATAACAAAGAGATAATATATATTATCTCTTATATATATATATATATATATATATATATCTGCAGTTCTTTTTATCATTATATTTACTAAACAACCAAAAATAACGATAAGTACATCAGAATCAAAAGCCTTTATTATTAACTGTGTGCTCGTTCCAGTAAATCTTATCGTTACCTATTTACCGAGCAGAAATAATCACGCTTAAAAATATTATGCCGAAAAAAGTGAATGAAAAACTCAGTTGCGAGAATATTCGTAATTTTGCATTTTTTTCACTTAACGATAATTTTTTATCTAGAAAGAGATCTAAAGGTCAAACAATCATAATACGTGGTTAAGAAATTGTCCATAATCGCGCAAATGTAAATGTTTATCATGGTTCATCAAATGGTTATCATGAGATTGCAATACCAAGTTTTTAACGGAGAAAACATTAAATATTTTTATTTTTACCAACTGGATATGAATAAAAAATGACGCATAAGTAAAGAAACAAAATTCATGCGTTTTATTTAAATAATAAATCTTTATTACGCGTGCAATTAATGATTATTGACTACATCGCTGCAATTAGTGTATTTTTACAATTAATTTTGGAGAAATTGATTAGCGAGTGATTAATAAGACGTAAACTGCCGTCATTTTCGACGTCATCGTCGAGTTTTTATAATAATCCTGATCTTACTTCATTATTAGACGAAATCGCGATATTATTTCTAGATCAATAAAATCGACCACAAAAGAACGAAAGTGGACTTATATAAGTCGGACGAGTTATGATTATCACAAAGTTATATACAATGTTATCAATAACGGTTTTTTTATCAGCTGTGCAAAGCACAGCTTTGTTTCTAAGAACTGTGACGAAAATTTAATTAAAAATTTTTGAAATATATATATATGCACAGTTTATCGATATCAGTATAATTATTTTAACATTCATATTATTAAAGTTACTAAGACTTTCAATCGTACTCGTGCTTATTGACGCACGTACGCAAATTATGTATAAACAATTCGCGAATAAATAAGTGCTTATCTATTATTTTCACAACAATATCTCTCTTTCTCTCTCTCTCTCTCTCTCTCTCTCTCTCTCTCTCTCTCTCTCTCTCTCTCCTTTTATAAAGTAAAAAAAAGAAATAAAAAAGACAAGCTCCGGATTAGAAATTGTGAATACTTTCATCACTTAATCTCTTCATGCATACTCCCACTACACTGTTCTTGATTATCAGTTGTCCGATATTCTGTATAGTAATCTGCCAGAATAAATGGATTTTTCCTCGTTCGAGATGAGCGAAATATGCGTAAGTACGCTCGCTAATATATAAGCTGGTGGAGTCGGCGCTTGGTACCAATCGCTGCGGAATGTTCATCCTGACTAATACCTCGAAGAAAAAACTGAGACAGCAGCTATCGTAACGGTGATGGTATCGTGAAAGGCAAACAGAATCCGAAGTTCTCACAAAGTGTACAATCAGTATTACGCTGTGAACGCGAGACGTGCGTGGCAACTTGTCGCAACTGGTGCAATAAATGTGTGCATGCGTATAAGAGAAAGAAAGAGAAAGAGAAAAAGATATCAGGTAATTATATTTAACAATTTTTTTTCAAGCTATCTCTTAATTGAAGCTATCTCCTAATTGAAGCTATCTCTAATTGAATGCTTGCAGTTATCGCGCAGAGTATGTGAGATATTCCGTGTGAACTTCTTAACGCGCTTCAAATGAATACAGATAAGAGAAAGGATTTTGCGTAAATGTAGATTCGTGCGAAAATTCTCTAAAGCGAAGCAATCAATGTACGTTAACATAATTAATGTCCTCCTGAGTGCTTTTCAATTGAACTGTTATGTGCTCGTGATAAAATGCGTGCAACTTCCAAGTTGTGTGACATTAATATCACATCGCCTCATTATTGTACGGAAATAATTTCCTATTGTGTAAGCTTTTAATGTCATAACATGTAACTATTTTATTTTATTAAAATTTTAACGAACTGCTTATTCTTTCGGAAATGTTCGAAACTTATTCCCTTGGAAACATAAACCGCTTATAACTGTTTGATGCAAAGTTGATATAAAAATTCACACAATTACCCAATTCCCTCTGGGAAACAAAGGGTTAATTAAGATTATCGCTTCTTCTCTCGGACGGAATCTTGATAAATTCGCAATTTTACCTGTCTCTCTCCAATTTCGCTCGAATTTAACATAACAACTCAAATGCATAAAAAGTACTTAAATGAAATCATTTGCATCTCCTAATAAAATTAAAACCGATGAGAACCTTAAACTAGTTATGTTTACTAATTTGTACAATTTTAGTAAAAATTTTAGTTAAAATTTTAGTTAAAATTGTAATACAATTCCAATAAAAGGACTGGTAATTATTATATAAAAAGTTAATTTATTGTTATTTATTATATACTACATACCGTCCTCAAGTTTAGCAAAATATGAAAATATTTTGTAAAGTTTGTATTCAATAAGCTTGTAGTCGATTTTTCCTCCGTGATGTTTTAAACTGGGCCATAATTAACATATTATCTTACATTACAAATTAGTTAAAACTGGTTTAGAATATTAAACTTTATAATAAAGAACTTTGATTAACTTTTTATAAACTTTACTTTGACTGAATATTATCTTAAAAATATGATTCATAAACATTTAATATCGAAAATCTGAATATTATGTACAGAATATTGTTTACTAAATTTATTAAAAGATACTTTGTAATTATTTCCTAAATTCGATTTTCTAAATTTACAACTAAAAATATAAGAGAATATCTAATATCGATAATATCATAAGAGAATCCCTAATATCGATAATAACAACATCAATAATATCACATGATAAAATAATAATGCGGAAAACGAATTACAGGTTTTGTTACAAAGGTACTTTGAAATTATATATGATTGAGTACCTTGATAATTCATTCTCTTTTTATTCATCTTCGTTTCCTATTCTATTCGTCGCAATTCCAACTCAAATATCCGCCATTCTGAATATCAGCTGATCTATGACCGGTTTGCATTGTCGTGTAGAATGCATGCGCATTCGTAGTTCTCACTGCGCTAATAATAAATACGTGAGTGACTGTATTGCGTGTACAGTGTAAGCTCTGTTCAATGGTGACTTTTTCGATAACAATCGTAAATAAAGAGTTGACCGTTTAAAGTTAATGATATAGAATATTACCAGCAAATTCTAGACGTTGTTTTGTAGGAATTAAAATTTAGAATCTTAGGGAAAAGAAAAACAAGTAGAAGGAAACGTAGTGATATCTCCCAAGAAAGATAAATATTTACAAGAGAGAAAGAGAAAGAAAAGGTAAATAGAAAAGATATGAAATTTTTTTTTAAATGTAAGAATATATGCAATTATGCAAGTAACAAATTACTCTGCTAAATAATATTTCAGTTAAACTAATGCTACTTCAAATGATAGCAAAAGAATGCTCTGCTTTTATAGAATGAGAATATTTATAAAATTTAATGAAGATATGCATACTTGAAAACTACCTTCATCTCTCTTATCAAAATCTGAAAATTTTTAGATCACAAATTTCTCTCTTTCTCTTGGGAATTATTTATATGAACTGTATTTATGAGTATTTTCTTATGTGCTTCTAGATAAACATTAAAATTATCAGATATGGAACAGCAATGGATTATTACTTGCTTGTTAATAGTGTGTGCGCATGTATCGCATCAGGTAAATATAAAGACAATTATATCATCTGTTGTTATCTATTTACTAATAATACATGTTTCTAATGTCTTGAGTTTATAATATAATCTAAAAGTGTAGTATATTTAATAGATATACATTTTATATATATATACATTGTATTACAATCAGGTATCAACCTCATATTCGGAAACTTATATAGCAGCTGTGGTAGAATTTCCTTCTATACATAAAACTGAAAGTGAACCTACTTTAACAACAAATACCAATGCATATATCAATCACATTAAGACAGCTAATGCAAGTGTAAGTATCTTTGTAATCACTTTTACCTATGTAATTATTAATAAACTTTTCCGTATGAATATTTACAATTATATTAGAAAAAATAAGATATTTGATAATGGTAAACACAAAACATTATCAATTATTCAAATATTTAAAAGATACAATTTATTTTTACAAATGCTTTATAGAACAAAAGAAAAATATTTAAAAATAAATTAAATTAATCTGGTTTAAAAATCTGTTTTAAATCTGTTTTAAAAAAAGAAAATTAAGTATCAAAAATTTTATATATTCAGTCAAAAGCACATAAATATATATGTATCTTTATAAATATAAAAATGTGTAAAAAGATATTTAAATCATCCAAATACTTTTCAGGATGCTGATATAATAGTTTTTCCTGAAAATGGCTTAACAACACTTTCTTTACCAGAAAGAGAAGAAATGGATGATTGGTCAACTATTGTTCCTGCTGCATCAAAAAATTATATACCTTGTGATGAAAATACTATTGAAATCAGCGAAGTATGTATTCTGTGTATATATATCTTCCAATTTCTTATACTTTAGATTATCTATAACTGAAATTATCTATAACCGAGTTGAATGTGTGTTTAAAAAGAATATACATATTCACAGACATTGAGAAGAATATCATGTGCTGCAAAAGAAAATCGAATCTATGTTGTAATAAATATTGCTGAGAAATTACCTTGTAACAAGGATACATGTACAAAACATGATAAAATTTATTACAACACCAATGTTGTATTTGATCGCAATGGAAAGATCATTGCCAGGTAAATAGATTTACCCATTTTAATAATAGGTAATAGATTTATCTATTATTAACATTATCATCAGTATAATAATGTGTTTAATATTATTATATAAATATCTAATTGTGTTAAACAGGTATCGTAAAACGAATCTTTTCATAGAACCAGAATTTAATGTAACAGAAATACCGGAAATAGTGACTTTTGATACTGATTTTGGAGTGAAATTTGGAACATTCATATGTTTCGATGTATTGTTCAACATACCAGCATTACAGTTGACAAGAATTCATCAAATTACTGACATTGTATATCCTACAGCATGGTTTTCTGAAGTACCATTTTTAACAGGTAAGCAGAATAATAGAATCTCCTCCCATTTGATATATTGATAATTAAAATTCAGAAACGAAATTTATCTTGCCTTATAAACTTAGCAATACTTTATATTTCTAGAAAAACTACAAGACAAAATAACGTTTATTAAATAGAAATCACAAATATCCTCTTTTACTTTTGCTCTATATAGGTAGAATATATCATTGTTGATACATCATCAGATAACGTGTTAAATTTGAGATTTCATTAAGACAAATTTTATATACTATAATAGAAGATGATTAATTCTTGTAGCTGTACAAACACATGCTGGATGGTCGTATGCCGAGAACGTAAATTTTTTGGTTGCTGGCTACAACAATCCTTCTAGGGGCAACACAGGCAGTGGAATTTACTTAGGTAATTGAACTTTACTTCTCGAATATTATTCACATTTAATGATTGCAGTATGAATATGTATACAAAATAATATAATCTACAGGTCGTAAAGGAATAGGCAAGGCGATAATGCCTTCGATCTTGCACGAGGAAGTGTTGATATATGAAGTGCCTAAAATGAAGAAGAAAACTGAATCTAATCACCATACAGGTCATTCAGTGAATGTCGATGATTCAACTTTGTACCATGGAAAGGAACATGTGCACGATGAATTACGGAAGAAGCGCGAAGCCAACGCTATTGATGGAATCAAACTTTTATACTATAAAATTGATGAATTCAATACGTTTCTATTGGAAGGAAATATCACTAAGACCCTTTGCCAAAATGACTTCTGTTGCGACTTTACGGTAGAAATGTTGAACATTGACCCAACAACGAGGTATCGTTTAGGAGTTTTTAGTGGTATTCGCAGTTTTTACGTCGTCAACGCAAGCGTAAGCGTATGCGGCGTAATACAATGTTCAAACCAGTCGATCGATTCGTGCGGATCTACGCAACAATCACGAACATTATTTAGCAATATTGATATATCCGCAACATACCACAATTATAAGAAGAATATAGTTATGCCATCTACGTTAAACTCGGAATTATATCCACTTCAAACGATGGATTGGTCGTATGATGAACACTTTCATGATGATCATGTACACGTCAGTATGTCTTTGATCAACAGTAAAAATAATCTACTAACATTCGGATTATTCTCGAGAAACTTTGTTGACAGTGGCGCAAGTTTAACAGCATCTTTCAGTACTGTTACTTATTTCACAACATTATTAATAACCTTGTTCCTATCAAGATTATAATTTGTATATGGTATATATGCAAGATAAACTTATATTTTATCTATACTGTAAGTAATTTTTTATGTATTTTCTCGCTAATACAAGGTCTGTTTCAGAGATTATATATTTTTTCTCATCTACAAGTTATTGACGCGATATTTTATGTATCATATACATAAATATTTCATTATTTTTTGTAGAGCTTTATATATAAGTATATATAACTTTTATAATGTTTAGTTTATAAATTAAAATATTTTATATATTATACATCAAATGTATTTTATCTTCCATTACTGTGATTGACAATTGAAGTAAGAAAATATAGAAATTTCGCGAAACTTCAAACAATAAACACATATGCCAAATATTAATGCCAAATATTATGGCATGTTAATAAATGTATCGATTGCGTTCTATTGCCAAAAAATGTCTTTTGCGAAAAGATTTGTTCTTAATGTATACGTTACGAATTACGAAAAATATGTCTCATCATTGTTACAACTCTGTACAATCAATCGTAAGTAATTTGTATAAAAATATTTTTACGAATTGTATCAGAAAAAATAGAAACGTTCATGAATTCGACATCAAATTGTTTTTTTTCTCCTTATATTTAAAAAGATTTTAGTGAACTAAAATATTTTAAGCGAATAAAACATGATTGTCAAATTGGAAGGTTAAATGAGCAAAGATAATATATTACAAGCTACGATCAAAGTTAGATGTCAAGAAAACTGTCTAGAAAATCTCAAACAAATATGACATATCATCTTCATTCAGTTATTTTCCTCTTAAATTCTTTTTAACATAAAGTTTAATTAGGTTATTAAATTTTAATTATACAATTCTATTGATCCTATAAACTAAACTAAAACTGCTATAAATAATCGATTTTGCATTACCTCAGCCCTTAAGAAATTGCACAGATATGCCTATACGGATATACCAAAACCAAATTTTGAAAAATATCGACAGAAATCCATAGAGAATGCTGAAATACCAGTTGCAAAAAGTGCTGATGAGCGAAAAGCATTAAGTTGTATTGCTTCTTTTGGTAAATTATGTAAATTTCTATAAAATATAAATGTAAATTTGTATAAAATATTTCGACAAAATATTTTGCTTCTAAAATCTGTTCTCAATAAAATACTAAAACTAAGAAAAAAGTAAAGGTACACGCATGGTTGCGAGGTTGAGTTTAATACTTTTTCAGTTGGCGGCGTCGCTGGATTATATAGCTTGAAATCTCACGCATTGCATTATATACTTTTTCTATCGCCCTCTCGAGATATGTTAGCAGAGTCACAATTGGAAGTGAAATTACAAAATATATCAGAGGGACATGTGGCCATTGTAAAATGGCGCGGTAAACCTGTTTTTATTTATCATCGGTAAGATTTAACATGACCTTATAATTCTACAAATTTTGAATAAGTATCTCCTTTTAAATCTTCATTTACTTCAAATTGAATATATTTCTGTTTATAAAACTGATTAATTTAGAGATATTTAATGTATATTTATGTTTATATACAAACTAGCAAATAGAATAAGAGAAATTGGAAGAAATTCTCTTCGGTCAAAGTTTGGAGTCTAACTTATTCACTATTTATTTAGCACACAATCGATTATCGAGCAAGAAAAAGCGGTAAAGTTATCTGAATTGCGCGACCCGGAAACAGACGATGACAGAGTCAAAAGGCCAGAATGGTTAATCGTGATAGGAGTTTGCACGCATTTGGGATGTATACCGATTCCAAATGCCGGAATCATATCAGGTGGCTTCCTATGCCCGTGTCATGGTTCGCACTTTGACGCGGCCGGTCGCATACGAAAAGGCCCGGCACCGACTAACTTGGAGGTACCCGAGTACAAATTCACAACGGATGATAGTATCGTTATTGGATGATGCGTTGCTTCTTTATTAAACCGATGCTAAATAAAAAATAACGAGCGGATCCCCACCAAGAATATAACATTCTATGTGAGACGAGAAACATTTCCGCGTTTTTTTATTTGAATTCACTGGATTTTTGAAATTTATAATTTTCGAATTATAAATAATTAATTCGAATAACTTCGATAATAAGATGTCGGTCCAAATGAATACAAATGGTGACACCGATTTTTTCCTCGGCAATTTGGGCTCCGGGAACACGGCGGCACTCGGCTGGCATTCTCGGCACGATAATTTACAAACAGCCAGCGGATCACAAACGCGAGGGATGCAATTGCTATTTCTAGTAGCCATAATACAACGAACGCCAGACACTTGCTCGACACTCCCAACGATTTGTTACACGAGAGGTCCATTGTTCATTTAACGATATTTTACCATAACTAACGCGCAAAATTACTATCGGCACTCCCGACGATAATTCGCACCCGAAACTCAATGTCGACGAATTGAAATCGCGAGATATACCGATCATCAATTTTTTCATCGCAAGATCAAAAAACGCAATATCATGAGACAAGCAACTCCGAATTGTTATAGAGTGATGTACATAAGATAAACTTACCCGTCGACTAAACCGTCGTTCCTGATATCCCTCCTTGCAAAGTATATCCTCAGGCTTTAATATTTTTTACAACACAAATACTAAATTTCACTTTGCATAATAACAGGCCATTTTTTTCACAACACTTGATCACAACACAAATCTTAAGCAACAAACGCGCGTAATTTCACTCGGCACTCCCGACGATCCGGTTTCGTTAATTACTTTCGACTACTTGACGATATTTCGCCATGACTAATGCATGAAATTTGCTTTCGGTATTCTCGACGAAACAACATACGCTGATATTCGCCTTTGATAATTCAAAATCGCGGAAAATACGTACGATCGGCTTTTGGAATTCACATACTAACCGTTGCAGTGCAATGGTCACGATTTTCAGTGTGTGCGTATGTCGGTGAATACGTATCGCTAGTGTACTAGCCAATCAAAGTGTTCCGTTTGAAACCGTCCGTTCCGTTTGAAATATTCCAAGAAGTCGGCCATAACAAAAAAATTCCCGAAACTTTACTCGACCCTCCCGACGAACAATGCACATTTTCGGTGAATATTTAACGAGGGTTGTGCCATATCTCGATGTTTAACGATAATTCGCGGCCGAGACTCGGCTGACGAGTCGAAAACGAGCTCCGCGGCGCGAAAACCGAGCTGCTCTTCGCAGCTGGCGCGCTGAACTTTCTTCGGAATTCCGACGATTCATTTCACTTCACTTCGCGCGGCGGAACGAACATCATAACACATGCACGAAATTTACTTTCGGCACTCCCGGTAACGATTTAAGGCACGAGACTCAGCTACGGCGAGTCAAAATCACGAGAAATCACGAGCGACGTTTTCTCGTACATTACACAACCCGTAACCGGCGCCATAACTAAATAGGAATACAACTGCGAATAGCGCCACAAGCGGGATACTTGGGAAGCTGAGTCGACCAATCACGGTGATTCATTTCTTTCCGTAGTGGAACTACTTATCTGCACAAAATGTATGAGGTGCAGGTGAAAGCAGTCGATAGATCGATTTAATTCGGAACTACACACAGTGTAATAAGCAGAGAGGAACCTGAAAGCGGCCGACATAGCATTTTTGGCGACGTCTATTTTCCGCGTTGAGAAAAGGCGCATCCATTTTAAGAAGGGAACTACGATGCTACATCTACTTTCAGGTCCCGACTATAAAACTTGCATGTGGTAGCAGTCCGATCTTTAAGTCAGGTTTATTTATGCCATAAATAAAGCCAATAATAAAGCCAGCGGCACACAGTGCTTGTTTTCATGCCGGATTGCTTGCTGAATGAAAATACTGCATCCTGATTGGTGTATTTCCAACCATTTTCGGAAATGTACCAATCAGAATGTAGTATTTTCATCCAGGAAGCAATCCAGCACCGTATGCCGCTGGTTTTAAAGATCGGACTGCCATCACATGCAGGTTTTACCGACGAGACCTGAAAGTGGATGTAGCATCGTAGTTCCTCTCTCAAAATGAATGAATGCGCCCTTTCCAGATTATAGAAGGTTGGTTTAGAAACTAACCTATCATCAATTTGAGAAAACGCGTTTAGTATCGCTTACGTCTTACGTTGATTGCTATTGATTACTAACGATTACTATCGTTGAATACTATTTGATGCTTGATAACTTTTAATGGAATATTTGTATTATTACGATATAAAATAAATTAGGAGTACATCTTGTTGAAAAACGTCAAATTCTAATTCAAAAACTGAAGGAAAAGATGACATCCAAAATAACACCACCGATAGAAAGAATCCAACTTTTGGATACTATCGAAAAAGAAGTCATAAATTGTTTACAAAGCGCAGGTAATAACACGATTATGTCTCGTATTGCAATTTTGTGCATACAAAGTACACACGCATATATATATGTGTATATATATATATATGTGTGTGTTTAAAAGATTGCCAAATATAAAAAACATAGATGTATGCACAAGATCTGCATTTAATCGAAATATATTATATAGGAGCAGCTATCTCGGAATTGGGTAAAGAAAAATCAAGCATGAAACAAGTAGAGCAGAATACGACTCATTTCTTGAAATCTCTAGCAGTTGTAGAATCTAAATTGAGTGAGCAAATTAATTATCTTACGCAAGTTTCTACAGGTATGCATAGTTATATAAAATATTCATATATAATGTCTGTTTTGATGATATCTTTATTTCATTATATGTTTGACGATGTATCTTAGGCCAACCACATGAAGGTTCTGGATATGCAAGTCAAAAGGTACTCCAAATGGCATGGCATAGGTTAGAGCATGCACGAAGTAGAGTTAATGAGCTAGAGCGTATAAAAAATAAATTACGATAATAATAAATTACGATAAAAATAAACATTTTTCATTATGTATGTTAAATTTTATACTGATAAAATAAATTGACTATAAATTACTTTAGTAAATTATGTATCTTTGTTAAAAGTTATTTCATTGCTATTTTGTAATTTAACTATAAGACTTACAAATTAATTTCATAAATGGATATATAATTCATAACAATTTTTACTATAAAATTTTTACAAATAAATATATAATCTGTAACAAATGACATGTAAATTTTATGTAATAATGAGCACAATTTTCTGTGTATTCTTTATTGCTAAATGTACAATATACTAAAAAAATACATAAATAATTTTTCTGTCATGTGTGCTTATTCTGTTTATCACATATATATTATACAAGTAGTAAACTTTATGAAAACATTCCAACACGCAACATATACACTTCATAATTAAAACTTTTATATAAGAAATGAAGATTGTGAAAAATAGTTTTGAAACAACATTTTTTCTCTTTATAATATGAATGCATACTCTTTAATGTCATTCTTATCCATCCATAACTCCCATACTACGTTTTACTGTAGCAGCCAATGAAAGTCGTGATCTCCTTTCCTCATCTAATTGTTTTGTTAGTAATGACATTTGTGATTGTAAGTCCGTCATTTGATTCTTTAAAGTTTTAACCGTTTCTGATAATGTCCTGCAAGATATATATTAATATTAATATATTTTTTCTTCAATCAATAAGATAATTAAGTGTACAAGTCTCTGAGTATATAAGTTCCTTGCGAGTAATGTATAACTTTGACACTGACATATTAAAATATTGTATGCAAATTTCTTTTATTAATTCGATAAAACAAAAGAGGAGCAGAATATAGTTTTTAATATATCCTTTGTTCTTTCTTGAAAACAAGTGATAAAATATATTCAAGCTCACCTATCATTACAAGATTCCCAATTGCCTCTGTTATGCATAGATGATACCCTGTCGCGTGACTTTTGTGATTCATAATCTAACATTGCTGAAATATAAATATATTTTATTCATGATACAATTATACGTAATATTTGTGATCACGAAAATCATTAAATTCTCTTAATCATTAAAGATTTGTTATTAGATAATATTTTAACTGTTAAAAACTTACAATTGGATTCCCCAGAATGTACAGTGAACCTTGCATTGACAGAAAGACAATATCCTTCTATTACTTTCAATATGATTGCATCTTCTTCAAATTGTCGTTCATCTACAATATATAAAATAAAATAAACTGCAAACTCGATTATATAGTTCAAGCGTTTGTTTAATACACACAACAGATCTTACTGCAAGATCGTAATGGGCGCGATGTATCTGTGGTAGTATCTATTTTACCAAAGTTCTTAAGAGAATATAAGGGAGGAGCAGGTCTTAATGATGCGAGACTCCAAGGTGTCTTAATTCCTGGAGACGTACAATGCTCTATTGTCGGTCGTTTCCCGTTCATCTGGTTGTTCATCTGCTGTAATATACATACACATATATAGAATCATTTATAGCATAATAACATTTCAACATATCAATATATATGTAACACACATAATTATAGGGTCTCTAATATTATATCCATAAGTATATGACAGTCTTTAATATAATATAAACTGATCTCCTATTGATTAGCGCATGGTCTCTGTTTTAATAGAAAAGTACTTAAGCCATGCGGCATTATGATAAAAACACAAAACTCTATAATTATATGATTATACATTACACTTAGAGCGCACGCCCTACCTCTAATATGACTAAGACTTTATCTACTCAAAATCAAGTTGACTAGAACCTTTTGCAAAGCGCGAATGATGACAATGAAATAAATTAACACACATATGAAAATCTGTGTGATATGTTTCAAGGCTATTCTATAATGTATTGTGTTAGTAAAGCGACAGCTTACTTCACACAACATGGCTGTAAAATAAAAGTATATAACTTTTGGTAGAAAATGATAATTAGTAAAAACACCAGCATGGTTAAAAGAAACTGAAGTGATCAAATGAACAGCCATGCCATGGAAGCTTGCCTTGTTCCGTGCATCCAGATATCGGGATAGATTTCTTGAGCCACCAATGAGCATATAATCCAGATGAATATACTTGATTTGTTGGTTCATGTTCCTCTATAATCGGCTGAATTGGACGAACCACGCGTCTTCCAACTTTTTTAATTACACACTGATGCGCGTATGGTATCGGTTGCGTGTACCTTTTCTCTCTTATATTTCCATAACTTAGAATAGGATGAGTCGCTACAGTTTCTTGAATTTTATTTTCGCTATTATTCCGATTATCGTTAACATCGTCATCAAGATTGCTCGTATCAGCTTTTACAACGCTCGTACACTCGTCGACATTTTTGGATGAGGCTAAAGAATGGGCGCTATCCCGAGGTGTAGAGCCAAACGGCGAAGTGCAAATACATTGATTCTCGAACTTATTCTCGTCATTTTCACTTTCGCTGTGAGACGTTCTTACTGGATCTATATATTTTATATGACTAGATGCGTACGACTTGTAACAAGAATTAATTTCGGACGAATTTAAGCAACAACTCTCAGCCATTCCTGAATCCGATGATCGTAAACTAGTATTTGCACAAGTTTCTCGAAATTCCCTTTCACTACTATCATAGTTATCTCCATGGGTGGAGATCACTGAATGTCGAACTAAAATACTTGTGTTCGGAACGCTCGACTTCTTTGTCGAATGCTCCTCACAGAGTTCATTAGAGCGTGCTTGAAGATTCGACGTACACGATTTGCTTGATACGAGTAGAATATCTGGCAGGACGTGGCTCATTGTAGTGCCAGCGGGCAAACTTTTACTAGTCTCAAAGGTACATCGGTCACCATAATCGACTCTCGACGCGAAATTCGTGAGTGAGGAATCGCTCGCTATTCCTACGTTACTAAGATCGGTATTATCTACTACGTATCTAACATCCATTATTAACGTGGATTTACACAATGTTCGCGACTCCTGCTGCATGTTGCGGCTTTCAGTGGTTACATCCGAGTCTGAATCCCCGCTACTGTGAGCCGGGAGGATAGTATAGGTCACATTGCATTTTCTCATTTTCACACTACTCAAATCTGGCTTCAAAACGTATTGAATATATAATAACTTCTTCATTAATTCAGGATATATAACTTTCCTCCTCACGAGCTTCGCGAAATATCTGGAGAGTCGTGCGTACGGTGGATGATGGCAACTCACGCGGGGCATAGTTGGTGATTTCAGAAGGCTAGCGCCTTGTTCCTGAATTAAAAGCTCGATCCAACGCTGTCTCTCTTCTCTCGTAGGACATAGCACAACGATGCTTTCAATCATTGGTCCTTAAAATATACATATCGCATTTTATCACCTACGTATTAATTATTGCCATTTTGCAAATTGAAAGTAAGACTATTTTTTTCTTTTAGATCGCGAAATAATATTCCTTGTTTTACTGTAAGATAAAACCATGGTATACATGTATGAAATAAGAACAGCCTTACCGGTGATTTCCAACGCGTTTCTTATTTCATCCGTATCTTCAATTCCAGTTACATTAATGCCTGTTAATGGGAGTTTTCCCTGCACAAATAATCACAATGTCTATTACAATCTTCACTTATCGAAATGGCATTTTTAAAACAATACAACAAGATATTTTCAAATATACCTCGTAAATGTATGAACTCATCCTTGGACTGGTACTAAGCACAAGTAAAGTGGTAGGAAACAGAACAAAGTATCTGTCTCTACGATCTACACCAGTTGCTAAAGTTACAGATCCAACATGAAGAACCTCACCTAATGAATTCAACTCTTCGCCTTCCCACCCTTTGATCCCACTAGTTAATATTTGAAGCGCTAACTCGCGTTGCTTACGTATGGAAGCGCAATGGTCCTATGAGTGAAGTGAATCACTAACAATAAGTACATATAGTTACACAATTGTGTGCATATGACATATATGTATCGATCGTCGTACCGCAATTTCTCGATATACTGCTATACTACGTTGAGTATCTCCTCTGTCAGGATGATTCTTTTCAGTATATCTTTCTAATTCTTGAAGCATAGCAGAATATTTATCCAATCGTCGGAACGGTTTACTAAGGCCAGTGGTTAATACTAGTATACCAGGTGATACCGCTCCAGTACGTTCCATAAATTCATTCAATTCATCTCTAAAATAATGTATAATTTATTTGCAAGCACATTCATTCTACGTAACGCAATTTTAATAAGTGATGGTTTATATTTTTCAATAATTACCTGTATCTATCCAATATACAAACAGCTTGTGGATGATTATTACAATATGATGTGTGAATAGATTTCAGTCTCGGTGCAATAGTTATAAAAAGATTTCCCATCCTTGCAGAGAGTCCTTGTAAAATGGTTGCCTCCAAATTTGCCAATAAATATTGATGAGTTTCTAAGACTTCATGTATATTACCAAGTAGTTGTTTGTATTCATCTTTTTTCAATCTATATTATACAAGTTTTTAATAATTTATATGTTATATACAATATATACATTATATACAATATTTACTTTTCTTCATATATCTTTATATGATGCTATAACTTACATATTTGATGTTTCAAGAGGTTGTAAAAATTTATTCATTAAACCCTGCAATTCTGCCACATTTATTCTTTCAGAATTGACAATATCTTTTAATACTATATCACGATTAAGTTTTTGATGTATAGGTGATTCTTGTGGACTTCTTTCTGGAGATGCTTTAATTAATGTATGACCATCATCTATATAAATTAATTTATAAGAGATTAACTTGTATAACTAATCACACAAGTAACTACTATCTCAGATATCCAGATATAAGCATGTTTAATGATTGTCATACCTGGAATTCTATATTCCTTGACATAATTAGAAGGAAACCAACCAGTCTTGTCATTTAATGTACCTTCCCACCATCCTTCATCATCTATTTGCGTTATTGTTATTATATCTCCTTTCTTAAAGCATAACTGAAATAAACAAAATATAATAATGTACATCCACTTTACAATCATATTGCATCTTCAGAATAATCCTATCATTAATCATTCAACCTCAATGTTTAAAATTTTTTTATATTCACCATATTGCCATCAGTATATCTTAAAAGTATATCTCAAAGTTAAAAAAGTATTTGCATAATTGATAAGATAAGATAGAATAATATTTAATTAAAAAATGTTTTCAGTTCCTTAGAGCCATGACAATATCATTTTGACCATACGTTTTATGTTTAGGTACCACTAAGTAGGAATATGTGAGATACTTCTCTTTACATACTTCATCGTTGTTCTTTCCCTTGAAGGAATAAAGTGCAATAACGAGTATCGGTCCATCAGGTTTCGACATGATTTCCGCTATTTAATTATAGATTGTAGTAAAATATAGAGAGACTAATTTTGAAGTGGCAATTTCGTACATCATATTCGTGATATCAACATTTAGCCTTCAAATGTTTTACCACTCATGACAGTCTCTTCGAACAGTGAACAGTGAAAAGCTCGTCTTAAAATACAATGTAAATCGTGTTTTCAGGAAGTCTGCTGCACTAGGAAATTATAACACGAAGAATTCTGTCGCATATTTCGACAGTTCTCACTTCTGTCACGCGAAGGCTTGTCACATGCCTCATGCACAAATGTACGGGCATAGTTATATAGGTTACACATCTGCCAAGCTCTCTCGTTAGACTTTGCATCTATAAATACCGCGATTCCAGCATCACGTGATCATAACTATGAACATTTCCTAGTTGATGACACCGCGTCAGCTCTAAGTAGGGATGGGCGGTGTTCGACTGATGAGTCAATAAGTTTGTTCCTTTTAACTGCACGCGAGGGCAAATAACTTAAAGGAGAGTAAAAAGAATAATTTATTATCTATATATTTTATTTTATGCATTAAACATAAAAAGTAAATAATTGTTTCTCTCAATCTTGAGAAACAGGCAATACTTATAACGAGCTTTAACTATGATAAAGATAACATATAACAAGACAGATAATAAAATAATAAGACAGTTTCCAGAGTATATTTTAAACTTAAAATCCCTATTTTATATTACATTACATTATTAAATATAATAGTTATAAAGGATTTATGCAAAGAATAGTATTTAGAGCCGATTATTATATATATCTTCGGATACTCTTTTGGATGGTCTTTCAGATGGATCGTTTTATTGGCTATAAAACATCTGAAATAAATTTTTAAGACAACCTTTTTAAAAGATCAGAAGACCGGTTGCTCCAACTTCTTGGTAAATTAATAGTTAGATCATATGTTTGTCTTTGTTTTTCCTTCAACTTAGACAAAGATAGACATATGATTTAACAATCAACAGAAAGAAACCTGAGAGCGGCCGCCGGGCCGGTTACTCCGAGACGCGTTTTCCGACGCGCCCCCTGAGAAAATGTGTGCACACTACGCCTGTCCTGACGATAACGGCAAAGCATTAATCGACCTGCAGATCTGTAGGTCCTGTAAGATGTGGCTCAACCTCCCGCAGAGAGTGAGCGCCGAAGTGGTCTACATGCCCCCTCGCAAGGGGGGATGTGGGCTACTTCCTCTAGCTGACCTCGCCGACGTCCTCTCGGTCGCGCACGTCTTCCGTCTTCTGACGGCGGACGACCGCGCGGTCAGGGACCTGGCTTGGGCGTCTTTGCGGGGAGTGGTTGCACGCCGCATCGGCCACCCCCCTGGTTGCGACCAGATCGCCGCCTTTCTCTCGGGGTCACTCGAGGGGGGGCTGAGGGGGGGAGGGGAGCGCTCCCTGTGGTCGAGAGCGCGGAACGCCGCGCGTCATCAGTCGGATCGCTGCACCATCCGGTGGCTGTGGAGTGAGGAGCACCGCGAGCTCGTCCTTCAATGTCGCGGTCCGCGGGGCAGGATCACCAAGATCCCACCTGGAGCTCGTGCCCAGGTGATCGGACGCCTGCGTGCTGCGGTGGCGGAGTGGTATGATACCACCTTGTCGCGGAAACCAAACCAGGGGAAGGTGTTCGAGGTGTCGTCTCGTCATCGAGAGAGCAATCACTTTATGCGGGGCGGCAGCTTCACCCGCTTCGCTGATTGGCGTTTTATCCACCGTACTCGTCTCGACGTGTTGCCGTTGAACGGTGCACGTCGGTGGGGAGAGGGTGATAGACGTTGCCGGCGATGCGGGGCGGAGTCCGAGAACCTTCCTCATGTAGTCTGTCATTGCGGACCCCACTCTGCTGCGATCTGGTGGCGTCACGATTCGATCCTGCTCCGACTCAGCAGGGCTTGCCGTCTGCCAGGGGACGTGACCGTGAACCGGCGGGTCGAGGGCATCGATGGGGAACTCGGCGAGCTACGACCTGATCTCGTGATCAGGCACGAGCCGTCGAAGAGTGTCGTCATATGCGATGTCACGGTGCCATTCGAGAATCGGCCAATAGCGCTCGAGGAAGCTAGGGAGCGTAAACTCGCCAAGTACGCTCCCTTGGCGGAGGCGCTCGGTTGACTCGGGTACCGTGTCATCGTGACGGCCTCCGTCGTCGGTGCGCTCGGCTCCTGGGATCCGCGCAATGAGCCAGTGCTGAGACTGCTGCGTATCGGCAATACGTATGCGTCCATGATGCGCAGGCTCATCGTGTCGGACACCATACGCTGGTCTAGGGACATCTACGTGGAGCACGTCTCTGGCGTCCGCCAGTATAGGGCTCCTCCACGCCGAGCTGATGGCGGCGTACCCGATGTCTCGCCGCCGCGTGCGATTAGCCGCCGTGTGGCCGGCCCGCGAGCCGACGAGGCGGCGGAGATATAATTGTTCGTGAGTATGAATGTCGCGTGGGGCCACCGGCCGGAGAGGTGTTCCTGTAACAAAAAATAAGTTATTAATTTTTATTTATTTATCTATCTATTTATTTATATTTATTTATTTATTTGTATCCATGTATTTATTTATTTGTCCGTCCTCTGGAATGTTGACTGCCGCGGGGACGGCGGCGGATATGCTCCGCCGTCGCGCCCGCGGCTGATATATTTTTAGATGACGGACTACATTTTTATTCTATATTTTATTTTATTTTAATTATTTATTTTGTTGTCGTGCTGTCTGGAATGTGGACTGCCGCGGGGAGGGAGGGGGACGGATGCCCTCCGTCCCCGTCCCCGCGGCTGAAATATTTTAAGGCAAATGACACGGCGCAGACTCAGAGAGAATTAGTAAATATGAGCTTATTTTTTTGTTTTATTATTCTTAGTATCTTTTATTATGTAAATGGAAGGCGTGCACTATACACACGCTCTTACCAGTACTGATGCGTCTCCAGGTCCCTTCTCCGGCTTGGTGAGCCGTCGGTGTGCGTGTCGCGTGGAAATTCGAGTGTGGATGTCGCGTTATGAACAGATTGGTTGGTAGGTCGACGCCACAGAGGGGGAGTTGGCTCTCCCTTTGTCAGCAGGACACAAAGCGGGTGATCCTGTAAAAAAATTATATTTTAGTAATTGTGTAAATATGGCACATGGATGATGAAACACATTGCTCAGGCCTACTAACATGGGCAATTCTTCTATTGTTTAAAGTGTACATATATATAATATGCGTTATTTGCTGCCCATTGTCAGGGGGGGCAGAATGTCCCCTGACTGTATAATATATCTTATATATTATATCTATTGCCCCCTGTCGGGGCGGACAGATTGTCCCCCGACAATAAATTATATAAAATTGGCGTCAGGCCTATGCCTGAAAATATATTGTATTTACATCGGGGGGCATGCCTCCCGGGGAACATTTATTGTGTAAATAAAGTAATCGAAGATTAAAGTTTTCCAACCTTTCTCCGTTGATATCTCCGCTTCTACTGGGAGTAGAGTCGTCATATACGGGAAAATGTAGGGTTTTGAGAGGACTTTAATTTGGTGCTAGAACCAGGCCTGTATCTCTAACCGTTTAGGAGATATCGAAGGTTAAAGTTATCCAGCCTTTCTCCGTCGATATCCACAGCATTCCTCCGTCGATATCTCCGCTTCTGCTGGGAGCAGAGAGTCGTCCATGTAGTCCAAAATGTAGGGTTTTGAAAGGGCTTTAATTTGGTACCAGTCCGAAGCCTGTATCTCTAACCGTTTAGGAGATATCGAAGGTTAAAGTTTTCCAGCCTTTCTCCATCGATATCCAGCCTTCATCAGTCGATATCTCCGCTTCTACTGGGAGCAGAGAGTCGTCCATGTAGTCCAAAATGTAGGGTTTTGAAAGGGCTTTAATTTGGTACCAGTCCGAAGCCTGTATCTCTAACCGTTTAGGAGATATCGAAGGTTAAAGTTTTCCAGCCTTTCTCCATCGATATCCAGCCTTCATCAGTCGATATCTCCGCTTCTACTGGGAGCAGAGAGTCGTCCATGTAGTCCAAAATGTAGGGTTTTGAAAGGGCTTTAATTTGGTACCAGTCCGAAGCCTGTATCTCTAACCGTTTAGGAGATATCGAAGGTTAAAGTTTTCCGGCCTTTCTCTATCGATATCCAACCTTTCTCCGTCGATATCTCCGCTTCCACTGGGAGTAGAGAGTCGTCCATGTAGTCCAAAATGCAGGGGTTTGAAAGGGCTTTAATTTGGTACCAGTCCGAAGCCTGTATCTCTAACCGTTTAGGAGATATCGAAGGTTAAAGTTTTCCAACCTTTCTCCGTCGACATCCAGCCTTCCTCCGTCGATATCTCCGCTTCTACTGGGAGTAGAGAGTCGTTCATGTAGTCCAAAATGTAGGGTTTTGAAAGGGCTTTAATTTGGTACAACTCCGAAGCCTGTATCTCTAACCGTTTAGGAGATATCGAAGGTTAAAGATTTCCAACCTTTCTCCGTCGATATCTCCGCTTCCACTGGGAGTAGAGAGTCGTCCATGTAGTGCAAAATGTAGGGTTTTGAAAGGGCTTTAATTTGGTACCACTCCGGAGCCTGTATCTCTAACCGTTTAGGAGATATCGAAGGTTAAAGTTTTCCAACCTTTCTCCGTCGATATCTCCGCTTCCACTGGGAATAGAGAGTCGTCCATGTAGTCCAAAATGCAGGGGTTTGAAAGGGCTTTAATTTGGTACCAGTCCGAAGCCTGTATCTCTAACCGTTTAGGAGATATCGAAGGTTAAAGTTTTTCAGCCTTTCTCCATCGATATCCAGCTTTCATCCGTCGATATCTCCGCTTCTACTGGGAGTAGAGAGTGGTCCATGTAGTGCAAAATGTAGGGTTTTGAAAGGGCTTTAATTTGGTACCAGTCCGAAGCCTGTATTTCTAACCGTTTAGGAGATATCGAAGGTTAAAATTTTTCAACCTTTCTCCGTCGATATCTCCGCTTCCACTGGGAGTAGAGAGTCGTCCATGTAGTCCAAAATGTAGGGTTTTGAAAGGGCTTTAATTTGGTACCACTCCGAAGCCTGTATCTCTAACCGTTTAGGAGATATCGAAGGTTAAAGTTTTCCAACCTTTCTCCGTCGATATCTCCGCTTCCACTGGGAATAGAGAGTCGTCCATGTAGTCCAAAATGCAGGGGTTTGAAAGGGCTTTAATTTGGTACCAGTCCGAAGCCTGTATCTCTAACCGTTTAGGAGATATCGAAGGTTAAAGTTTTTCAGCCTTTCTCCATCGATATCCAGCCTTCATCCGTCGATATCTCCGCTTCTACTGGGAGTAGAGAGTCGTCCATGTAGTCCAAAATGTAGGGTTTTGAAAGGGCTTTAATTTGGTACCTGTCCGAAGCCTGTATCTCTAACCGTTTAGCAAATATCGAAGGTTAAAGTTTTCCAACCTTTCACCGTCGATATCTCCGCTTCCACTGGGA